CTGAAAGATTGAACATAAAAGCAAGAGGGCAACTCAGGGGCCAGGCTCAGGCTTTTATAACAGCTCTTCAGGAGAGCAGTGCTGTGTTCCCTTTCCAAGGTCCTTCCCATTGGAAAGGCCCCACCTCTTAAAGCTTCTGTACCATCTTCCACTGTCACAGTGGGGGACCAGGCCTCCAACACATGAGCTTTTAGGGGGTACTCAGCTATGTCCAAACCATAGGTTCAGTGTAGCAGCTTAGAGGGAAGGAAGCAGGTGAGATGGCTGTGGTGATTACAGACAGTGTTAGCAGGGCAGGGACGTGGGCTGAGCTATGGTACCTCCTCTGTGTTCCATGCAGGTACTTCTGTTAGAGCTCTTAGTGTAATTTCCCAGATGTTTTCAGCTCCCAAGATCTGCTATGTAGGAAGTGCTCAATATTCATTAAATGGTACATTTGCTGCTTTAAAAAAAGATACAAATAGGATTTTTCTTTCTTAGACTACCTTGATCTATATTTTAAAAAGAAATGTCAAGTCAGTTTTAGGATTTACATTTTGAATGTGGTGAATGCAAAGATATTATTAGGCCATCCTTTAATTTGACTCTATTAGTCCTGGGTTAATATATTTTGGGTATTATCATTACATTTCAGAGACATTCCCTTCAAGGCTCGTCTTCTGAAGGATTGACAATAAAAGCAACAGAGCTGTTTAACTGATTAACGTTTTTTCCCCCAGTACCAGGGATTGAACTCAAGACGTTGTGCTTGCGAGGCAGGCGTGGCGCCACTGAGCTAAATCCCCAGCCTTGATTATTAACATTTTAAGGGACACCAAAGTTCACAGCCCTGGTGACTGCAGTTAATTTACTCAGAGTTTCAGACCACTCTTCATTTGTTTTCAGTGTGCTTCAGTGCTTGCGGGTCTGTTACGATTACAGGCCTGGGCCTGAGAGTGCCAGGAAGGAGCACAAATATGAGTAAGAGGCATCCTTTCCTGAGTTGTCACCTGGCAGAGGGCAAAATGACAGACTCCAGTAAGAGTCAGGCCATCATGCTGGGGGGTCAAGCTGCGGGGGTAGGAGAGTCCTGATGTCCAGGTGGACCTTATAGGAGCTGGGTGGTGGAAGGTGCAGAGGTTTGCTAGGTGCCAGGTCCTGTTTTATGCACTATGTGTATATTGGGGTTTTTTTTTCCCCATCCCCTTAATAACCATGTAAAATTTTGTCAGCTGTGTTTTATAAGAAGGAAACTGACATGAAGAGAAGTAACTCATCTAAGGACACACAGCCCAAATGGTACCAGTACCAGTAACAGAGTTAGTCTGGCTGCAGAGTTAATACTGTGAATTCTGTCCTGGGAAAAAAGAGATTTAGATGAATGAGTTGAGGATTGCAGACTTGTAGGAAGTACATGGGGATCAGCTACATGGAGGTACACAAGTTGATTTAGAGCTATTTTGCTGAGGCCTTGGAAGGAGATAATTGTAATACTCAGTCGTCACAGCTAATATTTGCACAAGGTCCTATCACCTGTGCTAATGCGTTGGTGGGCTGTTGTATTGGTTTTTCAGTTGGCAGTGGTGAAATTGTGAGTTTTTGAGTAGGGGAATTGCATTGTTCCCTCTCCTATATCTTCAAGCTGCCCGGAGTTTTGGGATTCATTCCCCAAGTTCTTGAACATACTTAGCCCTCAGTCTTTGCTGTCCCGGGGCCTCCCCGGCCCATTCTCTTTCCTTCCCCTCACAGTTACATTTTGAGTGTCATGGAGTCATCTACACAGTTTCTCTTTTTAATTTACTTTCCACCCCTGACTGTTTGTGGCTGACCTGCCCTCCATTGTGTCAACTGGAAATGCCTTCATTGAGTTGGGTAGTGCATGGTCCATTGCTCCTTCTGGTAAGGACTTTTCAGGTTTGTCTTACTCAGCAGTTTTCAGCCATGGGTGATTTTGTTCCTCAAGGGATAGCTGCCAATGTCTGGAGACATTTTGGATGTTAGAGTTGAGGGAAAAGTGCTACTGGCAACTGTGGTAGAGGGTAGAAATCCCATTAAACATCTTTACAGTACACAGTACAGTACAGTACACTCCACAAATGAGTTTGTCAGTAATGCAGAGGTTGAGAAATACTGAGCTTGCTTAGCATTCTGGGACATTGCATAATCCTCCATTCTGACTGCCTTCACATAATTCCCTTCTGACTTGACTTCCAGTGACTTTTTGGTTCCTTCCCTATCACTCTCTGTAGAGGACTTTCCTCCTCTTAGTGTCAGTCCTTGCTTGCAGGATTCTTTTCCTGGTCTTTTGTTTCTGCCCATTCCTCACAGTCCTCTTGGGCACCTCATGGGTCCCAGGGATTTTACCTTTGTTGCTGGCTGTGACTCTCAGCTTGAATCTTCTTGGGCTCCAGGCATGTTCATATCTTGCTCCACTTCAGTGGTGTACAGGCTCTTCCAATTCAGCAGATCCTAAACAGGGCAGCTAAATGTCATCGTCATCTTCTGTCCAAATCTGCCCCTCCTGTTCTGCTCTTCAGTGCTGAGAGGCAACTGACAGTGCTGCCTGAGTGCAGGGACTCATCATTCCTACCTGAGACCTCTCCTTGTTTGTCTATCTCCAGTCCTGTGTGCCACACAGCCACCAGGGAATACGTTCTAAAACAACTCTGAGCCTTTCCAACAGACATCATCTAATTCCCTGTGGATAGCACCTGGAATCTCTGTCATCAAGCCCAGTGGTTCCCAGGTGGGAGGAATAGTACTGCACAGGAGCCTTTTGAAAATGTTATGAACTGCTCTGGGGTTCTCATGAGAAGTGAGGGTAGGTGGGTGCTATACATAAGAAGTACCCAGGGAAAGTTAGTGATGCTAACTTTCTATAGTATCACTGGACAATACCCCTGCGCAAAGAATCATCCAAATGCCAATATGTAGTGTCCTTGGTAAGGTGCGGCAAATTTTTAGCTTCTGCCTAGAGCTTAGGAGAGAAATGTTGAGCACTACTCCTAGGAAGTACTTATTTTGAAAAGTAGGGGAACAACAGAGAAGCTGGCAAAATAGCACAAAAGTTCCAGGAGGGATTTAAGGGGAGTGATACATTGTATGGAAAATTGCAGAATTGCAAAGAGGTGAAATGGGGAAGGCTGTGGGTTATTTTACTCTGTATAGTGCCCTTCTCATCTCCAGGCCTCAGCCCCTCCTCCACATAATTGGCAGCTGCTAGTTTGGGCCTGTGGACTCTGGTCTCTTTCCTTGGCATGCCTAGAACCTTCTCTGCTCTGTTCTTACACTACCAGACTCTCAGTTTCCCATTTGGGCCCCACATTTGGTCAGTTTTGCTATTTCTGCTTTAGATTCTCAGCTACTCATTACACAGCCTCTTTTACTAATAGAAATATTCCAAGCTGTGCTGTAAAGATTCAGCTAATGACAGGAACAATGGTGACAATAGCATTAGCAAACCCTACCTGCCAGGTAGTTTGCTAAACTTTCTATAAGCATTTCTTATTTAAGGTGGTGCCAATAATTATACCTATTTGTAATTGAGAAGTTGAGAACTAAAGTATTACCAGTCTACTTTTACACAGCTGATACTTCATGGAACTGGGATTTAGACCTGCTTTCCCCACCCCGCTTAATTTAAAAATACATTTTAATTTTTAGAGCAGTTTTAAATTCTCACAGCAAAATTATAATAACAGTTTCCATATGCCCTCCTACATCCACACATGTATAGCTCTCCCACAGTCTTGTCTGAAGAATAGTACGTGTGTTACAATCACTGAACCTGCATTGACATACATTGTCACTCATTACATAGTTAATTTAGGGTTGGTGGTGTACATTTTGTGGGTTTTGACAAATGTGTAATGACAGGTATCTGCCATTGTAGTATCATACAGAATAGCTTCACTGCCCTAAAAATCCTGTGCTGTACCTGTTTATCCTCTCATTCCCTGGAAACTACTGATTTTTTTTTTTCAGTACTAGGGGTTGAACCCAGGACTTTTGCACTGAGGCATATGCTCAGGGCTTTCTCACTGAGCTACACTCCCAGCCCTTTTAAAATTTTGAGATAGAGTCTTGCTAAGTTGAACTTGCCATCTTCCAGTCTCAGCTTCTTTCATGGAGGGAATACAGGTGTGTGCCACTCTGCCTGGGGTTGCTACCACTGCTTTCTATACTGCCTCTATCACATGTCTTTTTGAAGTTTTAAAAAACAGTTTCTAAGCTCAGATAATGAATTATCATTGAGAAGTTACAGGAATGCTATGAGTTATCTCCATATATGATGTTTACTTCTTAAGAAATGGGTTCTTCTTTGTGCTCTCATGTTCTCCTTTGTTCCTGGGAACCTGCCTGGCTGTTTGGACCCTGTGTGTAGGTCGTGTGCTTACAACAGTGTAGAAATATCTTCTCATTTTCATTTTTTATCTGAGAGCTTTCAGCAAACTTTTTTTCTTTCACAACTTGGCAGTGGAATTCTATGTAGACCAATTGTCAGTATGACCAGACAGCCCTGCCATTGAGTACAAGGCCATTGACAATGACACTGTTCTGTTGGATAGCTTCTGTATGGGAGTTAGGACAACCTAAAACCTGTGATAAAGGGCTTAGAGGTCTCTTTTGGAGATGCCACCAGAACTGGCTTGGTTAAGTAGATTCATATTGTTTCTCACTTCCCTGGAATGATTCATTTTTAAAGAAATCTTGGAACTATCCATCATTACACCCACATCTTAGGAATACCTTATGCCACACTGTAATAGGTACTGATGCAAAATTGTGCTGTGAAAGATTTGGACTTTTTGAAGCTTGTGGGTTTGCTTTTTGGCAGATAACAGACTATCAGCAAATATAAATGCCCTAGGAACAGCATCCTGCCAGAAGAAAATGGCAGATGTTTTGAATTCTGTCTGATGTTTACTGCAGTAGTGGCATACTTCTGGAGTGAATGGGTAACACGGATAGCAGCTTTGCCCTCTGTGCACTCAGTCTCTTTCTCTTTGTTCCTCTCCCAGAAGCCCCTTGTGCCACGCCTCTGATCTGCAGCTTCGGCAGGCCGGTGGACCTGGAGAAGGACGACTACCAGAAGGTGGTGTGCAACAATGAGCACTGCCCCTGCAGCACCTGGATGCACCTGCAGTGCTTCTACGAGTGGGAGAGCAGCATCCTGGCGCAGTTCAACTGCATTGGCCGGGCCCGCAGCTGGAACGAGAAGCAGTGCCGCCAGAACATGTGGACCAAGAAGGGGTACGACCTGGCCTTCCGCTTCTGCTCCTGCCGCTGCGGGCAGGGCCACTTAAAGAAGGACACAGACTGGTACCAGGTGAAGCGGATGCAGGATGAGAAAAAAAAGAAGTCTGGGTCGGAGAAAAACACAGGGAGGCCCCCTGGGGAGGCTACAGAGGAGGCAAAAAAATGCAGGCCCCTGAACAAGCCCCAGAAAAGCCTGAACCATGACCTCCCCCGACGGCATTCCATGGACCGGCAGAACTCCCAGGAGAAGGCAGTCAGTGGCACTGCCTATGGTGGCCGCTCTCCTTGTGGTTCCCCTGGCCAGTCTCCACCCACTGGCTACTCCATCCTCTCTCCTGCCCACTTCAGTGGTCCCCGCTCCTCTAGATACCTTGGGGAATTCTTAAAGAATGCCATCCATCTTGAGCCTCACAAAAAGGCCATGGCTGGGGGCCATGTGTTCAGAAATGCCCACTTTGATTACAGTCCTGCTGGGTTATCTGTTCATAGAGGGGGACACTTCGATACCCCTGTACAGTTCCTACGACGACTGGACCTCTCTGAGCTCCTCACTCACATCCCCAGGCATAAGCTGAACACTTTCCATGTGCGGATGGAAGATGATGCCCACGTGGGCCAAGGCGAGGATCTGCGGAAGTTCATTCTCGCAGCCCTCAGTGCCAGCCACAGAAACGTTGTAAACTGTGCTCTGTGCCACCGGGCACTCCCTGTCTTTGAACAGTTTCCACTGGTGGACGGAACTTTGTTCTTAAGTCCCTCAAGACATGATGAGATTGAATATGATGTCCCTTGTCACCTTCAAGGTATAGGTGTTGATTCACCTTGCCCACTTTCTGTTAAATCCCAAAAAGTAAATGGGGAATTGCTCTGTTTGGTTGTAATTTAAACTGATGTTGCATTTGCCTTCTAGTCAGGTGTTAGGTAATGTGAATATTTCAGTCTTTCCCACTGAGGTGATGGTGATTTTTATGCTGATGTCACTATACCAGTGCAGTTGGTTCAGTGGGTAATTTTATGTTCTTGTTCTGCTCTAATTTGAAAAGAGCAGTTTTTCATAATTGGGAGGAAATTTAGGAAAAGAAATTGCGTAATTGTTGCTGAAAAATAGTTGCTTTTGAATCCTGTTTTGGTGTGCCCGACAATTTGTGTATTTCTTTAATACATATGGCAGTGAAGGTAAGTAGCGGACAGGAAGGGCCAATATGTTTTCAGAATAATTGCAGTTAATTTTGAAATTATGAAAGATGAGAAAAATGGAGGATTATCAAAAGCTCAGACATTACCTTGGTGATGGTGATGGGAAGTGGGTAAGCTTTTATGGATGATGTGGAAGATCTTGGGCACATTTCAGCCATAAATTGAACGGTAGGGGTTGTTTATTACAGGTGTGAAATATGGTAATTATTATAAAACTACCGAACTTCTTAAAGCTGATGTGCATGATATATAACATGTTCATAACTTTAAAAGTATGCTTAAAAAGCCTGTCGTGAAAATGCTGTATCTCCACCTGACTTCTTCTTAGTCCCCAGAGACACTTTAAATTTTTAACGATTCAGAGTTTTAATGTCATAATTTTAAACCCTGTATCTTCATTCTCTAATTTTAGATATGTATTGACTGGCTTTTAAGTGATTGTATATTCCCCTTCTTTCAGGATAGGACACAACAATTCTTAGTTGAATCCATGTCCTGCTGTTGTATGTAAAATATTTAGTGTTGAGCCAAGATGTATAGTTATATTTCCTCTTATAGAGAAAGTACATTTGAGGTCACCTTTTGTTTTCATTGAAGTTAATTTCTTCATGTTTTCATGTGCTTATTTTTTTTTGTTTTTGTTTTTGTGTTTGGTAGTATTGGGGGTTGAACCCAGAGCTTCGTGCATGCTAGGCAAGTCCTCTATCACTGAGCTGCATCCCCAGCTCTGCTTAAGTTTTTCGTTGTTTGTTTATGATACTGTTAATCAAACCCAAGGGCACTGTACCACTGACCTACATCCCCAGCCCCTTTTTGTAATTCTGTATTTTGAGATAGGGTCTTTTAAGTCGCCCAGGTGGGACTCAAGCTTTTGATCCTTGTGCCCCAGCCTCTCTTGTGTTGTGTTTTTTTTCTTTTAAAAAACAAAAAAAACACCTTGACTAGTTGCTCTCATTCTCCAGCAGCTTACAAGCCACCTTCTAAAATCCTTCTCGTGTACCTGACAGCATTTTTAAAGTTTTTCTTATGAAAGTGCCCCTTATGTAGCCTGTTACTCCCTGCTCCTGTCTGTCCTGGTGTACTTAGGACCTGTTGTACTCGAGCTGTCATTCTAGGAAAGCCTTTGTTTCTTTCTTGTGTTTTTAAATCTTGTTTTCTAGATCCCATACTTTCTTTTTGTTGGTTTATTCTCTTAGTTCGTCAAGGAATGTTTATATGTAGTATAATTTTTTGGCCCCGTCGTTCACCTCTTTATTCTGCTTTCTAAAAGGTTTCCTTGACTTTCTATTATTATACTTTAATTTCCAAGGACTCTTTTAAAAATATATATTTTATTAGTGCCTATTAATTTTACAAAATAGTTTCAATGTGGTTTTTTCATACATGTGTGTGTATTTTGATCATATCCATTCCCTCTATTACCTTTCCTTATACTTCCCTCCCCGTTATTCTCTTGCTCTTAGCTAATATAAGTCTCTTTTCTACTTTCATGTCAGTTTTTTTAGATTCTGCATATTAGGGAAAACATGCAATATTTGTCTTTCTTAGTCTGGTTTATTTCACTTAACATGATTACCAGATCTGTATTTTCCTGCACGTGACTTGATCTCATTCTTCTTTATGGCTGAATAATATGTCATTGTATGTATATATACTACATTTTCTGTATCCATTCATCTGTTGATGGACATTTAGGCTGGTTCCATATCTTGGCTGTCATGAATTAGCTGCAGTAAACATGGTTATGCAGATATTCTTATAATGTTCTGACTTTAATTCCTTCAGGTATATACCAAGGAGTAGTATAGGTTGGGTCATATGGTAATTCTGTTTTTAAATATTATAAGGGACTTTTCTACTGATTTCCATAGTGGCTGTGCTAATTTGTATTACCACCATGAAGGAAGGGTTCCTTTTCCCCACATATTTGCCAGAATTCATTCATTCATTCATTTTTGTATTCTTGATGATAGCCATTCTGACTGTAGTAAGAGAAATCTCACTGAAGTTTTTATTTGCATTTCCCTAATAGAGTTGAATGTTTTTATATCCATATTGGCCATCTGTACTTCTTTTGAAAAGTGTCTTTACTTATTTATTGGATTCAACTGTTTGATTTTTTTTAGGTTTTTTTTTTTTTTGAGTTATTTATATATTGTAGGTATTAATCTTCTGTCAGAGAGTAGCTGGTAAAAACTTTCTCCTACTCTATAGTCTCCACTCTGTTGTTTCTCTTGTTGTGCAGAAGCTTTTAATTTGATATAGTCCCATTTGTTGATTTTTTGCTATTATTTCCTATGCTATTGTAGTTCTGTTCAGGATGTCTTTGCTTATACCTGTGACTTCATGTGTTTCCACTATGTTTTCATTTAGCAGTTTGAAAGTTTCAGGTTTTACACCTATGTCTTTGGCCTATTTTGAATGATTTTTTTTTTAACAGGGTGAGAGAAGGTTCTACTTTAGTTTCAGTCTTCTGCATATGAATATACAGTTTTCCCAGGACATTTGTTAAACAGATTATCTTTTCTTCAGTGTATGTTTTTGATTCCTTTGTGAAGAATCAAATGGCTATACTTGTGTGTGTTTGTTTCTGTGTTCCCTGTTCTGTTCTATTGGTCTGTATGTCTGTGTTTGTAGTATTACCATTCTGGTTTTGTTACTGTGGCTTTGTAATATAATTTGAAATTACGTAGTATTGTGATGCCTCCAGCCTTGCTCTTTTTTGCATAGGATTACTTGAGCTGTTGTGTTTCCATGTGGATTTTACTATAGTTTTTTTGTACTTCTGTGAAGAATGTCATTGGAATTCCATTGAACTGTAGATCACTTTTGGTAATTTGACCATTTTAGTAATATTAATTCTGCCGATCTATGAACATGGGAGGTCTTTCCATTTACTAATGACTTCAACTTTTTTCTTCACTGTTCTGTAATTTTCATTGTAGAAGTCTCTCCCCTCCTCCAGGGGTTCTTTTTTCTCCTTCTTCTCCTCCTCCTCTTCCTCCTCCTCCTCCTCCTCCTCCTTCTCCTCTTTCAATACATTTTAGGTATACAATAGATTTACATTTATCATTGGGTGCTTGTACCTGTACATGATGTATCTTGGTTCTGATTTTTTCCCCATTA